TTGAAAAATGGCTAGAGTGATAATTACATTCAGAAGGAGAGCTTTTTTTATGGCCATTCTGGATCACCAATTGGCAAGGTTAAAAACAAATACATTTTCTAAATATAATGTACAGTACTTGATTGCAGAGCCCAGAGAAGATTCAGTGCATATTTTTGGCCCACTTAGTGCTGACACTTTAAATCTTGGTTGCCTAATTTTTTTTATTGCTAATTTTTCTTTTTCTTCGAGCGCTTCTCTTTTGGCAAAGGTAAAGACTTATGGGATAATTTTAAAAAGACACAAAATATATTTAAAATGCTGATATTCACATTTACACTTCTTTTCATTTTTGATCATGGGGGTATCTATATACAGAATAGAGTTTTTATTTAGAAATACTTTAGAAATTACAAATCCTAGAAAATCTTATGGAAGGGCATAAATGCACCCAAAACTCTGTGTGATTCATCTATGAAACCTCTGAACTCAGAACATATTGCAAAGACTATTCTTTTGAGCATGTGCAGATAGGAAAACAAATAATTGGGGATGCAAAAGAAAGAAGTAATCTAACAGTGTTATGTTTACCAACCTTTGTATTCTAGATCAATTTGGTGTGGATTGTTTTCTCGGTAAATCACACCAATGAATGTTATTCCTGTGAACTTATAATATTTTCGAGCAGTTATAGAGCAGTTTTAGACTCTTCTATGTCCCCCAACCATTGTACCATAATGGGAAAAAAAATAAACTAGCTATGCTAAGGAGTGGAGCCCCCGGTGGCGCAGTGGGTTAAAGCACTGAGCTGCTGAGCTTGTTGATCGAAAGGTCGCAGGTTCGATTCCGGGGAGCGGTGTGAGCTTCCGCTGTCAGCCCTAGCTTCTGCCCACCTAGCAGTTCGAAAACATGCAAATGTGAGTAGATCAATAGGTACCACTCCGGTGGGAAGATAATGGCGCTCCATGCAGTCATGCCGGCCACATGACCTTGGAGGTGTCTACGGACAACGCTGGCTCTTCGGCTTAGAAATGGAGATGAGCACCACACCCCAGAGTCAGACATGACTGGACTTAATGTCAGGGGACTACCTTTACCTTTATGCTAAGGAGTAACTCATCTCAATTAACCTGTGAATTATTACACAGAATGTAAATAGTAATTCTACAAATGATAAAATAGCAAATGAATGAATGAATAACACTATGTAACATGATTTTTATTCCTGGGTTATAAATGACATTTCCTAATTGGTTTTATCATAAAAACATGGAAAAACAGTTTGCTATAGTTTTTCAGTGAATATCTCATTGAGTCTCAACCAATTCAACATAGTTTGTGGCAGCCACAAAAATGAAGTTTCTGGAGTATAACAATTTTTTCAAAATAAGTATCACACAATTAAACAGGAACAAAACTTTTCAAGGAACAGAAAATGTTTCAAATTTTGTTACATAGTGTTGTCATTCACTTTGTACAATATCCTCTTCCCATGGTCTCTGAGGGCTTCTGGACAGTGAACATCAACTGTAGAAACATTTCATCTTTTTTTCATTAACAGATCTGCTGACATAAGAAAAGAACGGAAGAATCAGTAGGAAAACGAGAGATAGCGTACTACTATAAGAGGGTGCTTTGTCCTGATGACACCTTTATTCTTTTTCTCCCTCCCCACTGCGATCTCTAATATTTCTAATATTTATCTATTTGCATGTTGCTTTTCTCCCAGAGTGGGGCCCTCTGGGTTGTTCCCTGAGGGTCAATTAAAAGACATAAAATGTAAAGCAATTAAAATAACTGCATGAAACTGTACAAAATCATTTAAAAGACATTTTAAAAGTTTTAAAAAGATAATACGATTCCCCCCTTTGTTTGGTTGCGCAGGGATTAAATGGTAAGGCCTGTAGTTGGCTTTCCTGTCATATGAAGAGTGGTCATGATGATGCATACAGGCTGGGGAAGGATTTGGAGATTATCATACACTCTGTATCACTCAAGGAAAAAAATAATTAAAGATGGTAAATCCTAAAGCTTAATGACTGCAGATGCTAAACCCCCCTGCTTAATCTTATATCTAGGTTGCATTTGACTGGCCTCCTTAATCGGTCAATTTTTCCCCATGATCACATCAGTAGGTATATAACATTAGCTAGTAAGCAGTAAAGGCAGGCAGCGTATATATTCAGGACTGTGTACTTGTTCCTGAATGCACGATATTCTTTTATCAAAATTCAACAGTCAACATTTTCTAGTCTTTAAGATGCTAAAGACTATGTTGTTTTACCCCAGGAGACTAATAATCATTTCCCCTTTGGAATCTGAAATAATAATATGCCTCACATATAACAATGATTATATATAGCATAGTTGTGTGTAGAGGCCTTGATATCTTCTGAGAAAACTCTTATCTCTGTCTCATCATCCTTATAGGTTATTTTTGGTGGGGAAAAGGGAGAGGACCTTCTTGATGATGGCTCCCAGACTCTGGATCTCTCTTGCCAGGGTACATCTAAACTGTAGAATGAATGTAGTTTGACACAATTTTAACTGCCATGAATTAATATTATGGAATCCTGGGATTTGCAGTTTGGTGTGGTACTAGCTCCTCTTTGCCAGAGAAGGTTAAAAACCTTGTAAAACTACAACTCCCATGATTCAATATCATTGAGTCATGGCAGGTAAAGTGTATGAAACTTCAGTCATTACATAGCATAGATACGCCCTTAAAGAGGCTAGACTAGTGTCCTGGTTGATTACTATTTTTCCATAAGCAGATAAACCATTTTCATTCTAGAAGTGGTTTTGGTTTGGGTTTTAATTTTTCAGGGGAAAACAGATCTTGTATAATGTGCTGGACTACAGTTGTTGTTTTAAATAGTTGCATTTTTTTATGATAGTGTAATTATTTTTAAATTTTTGTGTGCTGTTAATTGTTAAACATCTTTTAATTGTTGCAAAGTGCCTTGAGTCTCAAACTGAGGGAGAAGTGGGATATATACTAAACAACAACAACTGCAGCTACAACAATATAAAGTCACACTGTAGTATATTCGAGGCAGCATAGATATGTGAATTTCTGGTCAGTTCTTTTTCAGTTGAGAACAATAGCAAACACGATTGGTGGGGATGAGGAACAGGGCCTTCTCATCAGTGCCCCCCCCCCCCCCCCCCCCCCGCTTGTGGATCGCACTCCCCAAAGACATCAGAATAGCCACCTCCCTCCTGTCTTTTAGAAGGAAAATCAAGACCTGGCTTTGGGACCAAGTGTTCGATTAGTGAGCAGCAACTGAAAGAAGATTTTAACTCTTATGGCAATTATTTGACCCAGACTGGATTTTAGATTCCAATTTCAATAGGCATGTGTTAACCGGCTAACAGCAACAATTCAATGCTAACAATAATAAATAAATAAACAAACAATGTTGTGTTACATTTATCACAGTTGTATTATAATATGTAAAACATGGAGAAGAAGGTAGAGACAATGTAATACAAATTCTAGTCAGTTATTGAAACCAATAAAGAATACAATTTCTTTTATTCAGACATACGTGGTTTTGCTAGGGTATTGAATTAATAATTTATTCCTAAATGTGACTGCTCAGAAGTAAGTTTCTCTAATAGCTTAACAAAACTTCAGTCTTTAAAGGACTCTGAACACCAATGTAGGCAGCCCCCAAGTTACGAACAAGATGGGTTCTGTAGGTTTGTTCCTAAGTTGAATTTGTATGGAAGTCAGAACAGGTACATTTTTAAGTGTAACTCAAGCCAAAAACATAGAGGTTTAAACTTTGGATAGCATTGGGAAGGGTTAACTCCCCTGTGGTGTTTGTTTTGCTGTCTGTGCCCCTGTTCAGAAGATTTCACCCCACTTTCTGTCTTTATAATAATTTTATTTTGAAAAATGTGGCTTGTTGTGGAAACAAGGATTGGTAATAGAGCTTCAGTTGAGACACGGTTCCCCATGATAACTTTCAGGAGTGACTTCCTTCTGAGGGGTAGGTTCCTCTCACTTCCTGTTGTCTCACTCCCATTCTTAACTATGAGTCATTTATCAGTTGGATGTTTGTAACTTGGGAACTGCCAGTATATACACTGGATATGCTGTAGTGAAATGCAGAAAGTTTCCTAATATCTGGCCATTTAGGCCAATGCATTCATCAGGACGTTTCTACCAGCAGTGCGTGTTGAAGTCTCTTGCCATTCCTCTTATGGATTGATGGGTTTATGGGTCCCATGAAGTCTTTTTTTGGAAAGCTGTGGTGGAGATACTATCCCACTGCTAATATTGAAGTAAGGTCCTTTTGACAAGGCTATATAATCCAGATTATCTAATCAGAAAATCCAGGTTATCTGTTTGGAACTGGATTATTTGAGTCCACACTGCCATATAATCCAGTTTAAATCAGATAATCTGGATTATATATGGCAGTGTAGAAGGGATCTGTGTTTCAACTTCCAGTCCAGCCCCTTTCTGTACAGGGCTCACTGTCTTGTATGCGCCTCAGGAAGCAAAAATGTCTTGAGCAAGCCATAGCAATTGTATAGCTGTTGCAGTTAATTGTCCTGCTTTGTTATTTCTATTACTTTAAACTGTTGCTTCATTTGAAAACATTTTCTTATACATTTCATCATAAGAAAACATTATAAGTTATCAACTTGTTTCCTCATCATCTGAAGTAAATAAGTCACAAAATCATATGCATAGTGCAATCCTATATATATTGGGGTGAAGGGCTGTTAACTCCAATCTGGTTTTCTTGCAGATGAGAGTGCATTGCATTACAGCCTTTAATTGGTGAATTCTACTTTTAAAGCACTTTTATGAAAAGACATCCTCTTTTTATCAACTGCATTTCCTCAAGTGTTCCTTTTCCTCTAATTCCCTGGCACAACCTGGCTGTCACAAAAGGGACAACATCTATTCAACAGAGATAAAAGCCCAAGGCAGCCTTTTATTATGTACAGAGAGGGTACATGGCAGCTCATGTGGCATGAAATGTCGCTTCCCATTGGTTGGTTTAGCTATCCATCACATGGCTCCTGAGAACGGAGGCTCAGGTTTCTTTCCTCCACATGAACAGATGAGCTGCGTGTTGGGGAGGTCTGATTCATTTCTCAATGGAAAGCAACATCCCTATTAAGCTTTTACTTCTCTTTTTCTTTGTAGGATTTTCAGCATCTGTGGACCAGTTGTTTGGGAGGATGGAGAGGAGGTGAGTAATTCCATGCGCACGCTTGTTAGATGTAGGTGAATGAGTGGCTTACATGTTTGTGTGCTGAAGAGAGCTGTAGACATTTTTGTATCAAAAAGCTGAGAGCTAGATTTTCTTAAATTAAAAAAAATCAGAATCCAGCACTTCAACCCTAAAGATGCTTCTGCCATAAGCTGTTTACTTGAAAGCAGGGATGTTAATATCAGTGGAACTTCTCTTGAGAAACTGTATTTTAGATTGCAGATTAAATGGATCCTCTTTTCTGTTTCAAGCTTAATAGGTTCTAAAACCGACTGGTCCACATTACACTCCTCTTTGTTTTTTTGACTTTGCCTTCCTTCTGGAGTATTAATAACTGAGATATAAATAAAACCTCGTAGGTGTAAAATACATATTCACAAACACCGTTGATGGTGTTGTAAAACAAAAAGAAAGGGGGGAAACAACCTTATTGTATGGATGTGGATGCAGGATCAGTTTAAGCAGAAAATAAAGTCACCTGAACACTATTGTTTTCTTTGCTGTACCACATGATTTCAATCGCTGCAATACAAAAAGATCTTGAATATTTCAGCAGGTGTTTTTGAGTCAAGAGAGGTTATAAAGACAAATCATAGAAACAGTGAAAACAGTTGAATGAGATTCATCAAGTTTCAGAGTCAATACAACATTAAAATGTTAGACAGATGATGATCATGTTGAGACTCAAAGCTAATGATATACAGTCTGTACATTTAGGGTAACAAGGGCATGTGGTGCTTTGCTTAAGCTTGCATTAAGAGATCTGTGTCTGGGTTAACTGATGAATTAAAACATACTGTATCATACAGTGTGAATGTTTGCTGTGATTATGGCAGATCTGTTACCAAGTAGTGTTTCCAAATAATGCACCCTTGCCAGATTCCATGAAGAAAGGTGATGTAACCTAATGGAATGAAGTTGAAAAGGTCATATGTCAACCTTGAAGTTCAGGATCATCTGTTGATGAAAGACATTATTGTACACTTGGTTTGACAGACTTGAAAGATAATGTGGAAGTTCTTTTATTTTTTAAGAACCCTATTTGATAAATCTTTAGCCACTCAGCTAATACCCAACAGAGTGAACATAATTTGATGTTGTTTTGAATTTTGTACTGCCTTTCCATATATGCTAAATCATTGCAAAAACCCCCCAACAAAACCAATTGACCATATCAGATGTTTTTACTTGGGCACATCACTGGTTAGACATGTTTGTTTGCACCAATCATAGAGTTGGAATAGACCACATGGGCTATCTAGTCCAACCCTCTGCATGCAGGAACAGCACAATCAAAGCAGCCCCAACAGATGGCAATCCAGCCTACGTTTAAAAGCTTCCAAGTAAAGAGCTTCCACCACATTCCAAGGCAGAGAATTCCACTGCTGAACAGCTCTTACAGTCAGAAAGTTCTTCCTAATGTTCAGCTGGAAGCTCCTTTCCTGTAATTTGGGCTCATTGTTTCGAGTCCTAGTCTCCAGGGCAGCAGAAAACAAGCCTGCTCCCTCTTCCTTATGCATCTTTTTTGCAACTCTATTGAAAAAAGAGATAAGTTCAGCCTCACATGACTTGTTTTTAAGAAATCTATGGTGAGTTTTAGTAATCACAGCATTCTTTTCTAAGTGATTACAGACTGCTTCCTTAATGATCTGCTCCACAATCTTTCCTAGTATTGATGTCAAGCTGACTGGACTGTCATTGCTTGGGTCCTCTTTTTTCTCTTCTTGAAGATAGGGACAACATTTGTCCTCTTCCAGTCTGCTTGGACTTCTCTTGTTCTCCAAGAATTCTCAAAGATTATTGCCCATGATTCTGAAATGACTTCTGCTAGTTCTCTCAATACTCTTAGATGTAGTTCATCTGGCTCTCGTGACTTTAATTTATTTTGAAAAGTCAGATATTCCTGGATTACTTCTTTACCTATTTTGGATTGCATATTGCCTATTACCTCATCCACTTCATATTGCTGAGGTTGAACACCAATCACCTTTTGGGAGAAGATTGAGATAAAGAAAGTGTTGAACAGCTTTGCCTTTTCCCTATCCCCTGTTAGCATTTCACCATCTTCTCCACTCAGATGCCCTACTCTGTACTTTTACTTCCTTTTCTACTGACATTACCAAAGAACCCCATTTTAATCTCTCTGGCAAGCCTGATCTCATTGATTAAGTAATTCGAAAAACAGACTAAACTTTGCAAGAGCTGAGCTCATAGGCAAGTTACAGAGCCTTGTAAGTTGTAATGTTTAGGCACCTTTAAATGTATTAAAGTTCAGGCTGTTGGTTCATAGCTACCATCTGAGCTGTTATGATCTTAACCAGTGGTTCTCAACTTGTGGGTCCCCAGGTGTTTTGCCCTACAACTCCCAGAAATCCCAGCCAGTTTACCAGCTATTAGGATTTCTGGGAGTTGGGGACCCACAGGTTGAGAACCACTGATTAATCGCACCCTCTGTGTTGGGCAAAGCAAGGGGTACCTGGCAGCTTTCAGTAAAATCTTTGTGAGTCTCAAACGTAGCGATTGAAATACAGATTATCTCTAGTTCTAAACTTACTCTTGCAAGTAAGAAAAGAATGCATAACAACAACAACTTTAATATAAATAAAGTTGTTATATAAAGGGACTTGGGGTGGCTTACAAAAGCACGTAATAGTGCAACAGAATACACAAGGTACAGTAAGATACATATAGTGTCAACTCTCTCTCTCTCTCTCTATATATATATAGTCTCTCTCTCTCTAGTAGTAGTGTTGCATTTGCTGCTACAGTGACACTTGTTCCAAATGGGAAATACTTTTGAGTGCAGAATGAGAATGTCGGACACATAGTGGCATCTGACCTGTAGCAATCCCACCTTCTAGCCCAAACAAACAAAGCAAAATTAGCAGGAAAAACAGAAACAAAAGAAGCTTTGCTACCAGCTTGTCTCTATACTAGGATGCAACCTATTGAGAGTAAACAACAAACAAACGTATTTTGTTGAGAGTAAACAACAAACAAACTCCACAAAACAGCTACTTCCTTAGTAATAATAGCAAGTAGACCAGATGTGCTTTTCAACTTTCTCACTGTCAACAAGTATGAATGTAGAAGAAGCAGTTTTTACAGGTTTCTAGTCAGGGTCTCTTCAAGGTGCCTCCTTGTCTTCATTACATTTGTATGTTATGAAACCATTAATGCCCAGTCAGGACTTGTGATGCTCTTGGGGCATCAAATCAATTATTCCACTGAAATAGCAATCTGTATGCAACCCTGGCCTATCAGTTATACAGTTTGGACTTTTGAGCAACTTTCTTTAAATGTTAATGTTATACTTTTATATCTATGTGTGTTTATCCTACTCAGTCTAGTCTGTCACTAGCAGAACTCAAATTGGCTTAGCTCTAATGAAAAGGACTGGAATAGCTAATCACTAGATAATGCCCAATTAAATCAGATTATATGTATAAAGGAGTGTAAATGCCTATTTATCAGATGACATTATCTAGCAGCAAGATAACAATCGGGCTTTTTTATTTGAAAAAAGTTCCTCAAAAATGATAGGTTTTAGAAACATGAATTTACATATTCATGTTTCTAAATGGGGGCATTTGTGAGGCAGTGGGGGAAAATGTCACCCAGCAGCCCACATCATTCCCATTAGGAAAACTACTGCTTCTCAGCTTCCCCTGTGTTTTCCCTAGGTTACCTTATGAGAAAACAGGAAGCCCTGTGTCCTTAGGACTCCTGGATGGAGCCCCACCAAAAGTCGCATTGTGTCATGTGATGGGCTGGTTGGCACTGTCCTGTCTTCATCCAGGAAGTGTCCTAGGATGAAGAGGTCCTAAGTGATTACAGACAACCTCCTTAATTATTTGCTACAGAATCTTTCCTAGTATTGATGTCAGGCTGACTGGACGGTAATTGTTAGGGTTCTCCTTTTCTCCCCTTCTTGAAGATAGGGACAACATTTGCCCTACTCTTGTCTGTGGACTTCTCCTGTTCTCCAAAAATTCTCAAAGATTATTGCTAGTGGTTATGAAATTACCTCTGCTAGTTCCCTCAATACTTTTGGATGTAGCTCATCTGGCTCTGGTGACTTGAATTTGTAGTATTCCTGACTGCATCGTTACCTATTTTTGATTGCATTCCCCCTATTACCTAGTCTGCTCCCTTTTGCTCAGGTTGAGCACTGATTTCCTTTTAGGAGAAGATTGAAGCCCATTCTACACTGCCATATAAAATCCAGATTATCTGCTTTGAACTGGATATATTGCAGTTTAGACTCAGATAATCCAGTTCAAAGCAGATAATGTGGATTACCTGCTTTGATAATCTGGGTTATATGACAGCGTAGAAGGGGCGTTAGTTTCTCTTTTCCTCTGTACCACTAACTCCAGGAACACATGGTCACTCCTTTCTAAGGAACCCACCACTACCACTGTACTGATCAGAGCCTCTGTGTTGGTTAGGATCAGATCCAAATAGCTGATCCCTTTGTTGCTTCTTCCACAATCTGGAAATAAAGTTATATACTGCTTGTATTTGTCCAGTTCAGTACTTGCCACAAACCTGAGAACTCTTCTCCTAAATCTCAGGCAACTGAGCGAATCAAACAAGTGTGTGAATATATTGCTTCTTCATTCTAAAAAGCTTGAGCCCTTATAAATACTGTCAGAATAGAGCCAAAGAAAGCAGTAAACCCATTATAACAAAAACTGTTGTATATGTTGCTGTTTGACTACTTTGACCATCATTGTTACAGCAGTATTAGCCAAGGGCATCTTATTAATCATGCATCAAAAAGTGGGTGGTTAATGGTAAATATGAAAGTATTGCATTGCTTTAGCTGAATAACTACTGATATTGGGCACAATGTGATTGCATTTGTGCTGTGCTGCTTTAATTGAAAGCCATATTTCTTATATTTTTAATGAAGCATAGCTGTTAAGTTTTTATAATCAGAGTATGAGGAAATAGGTATATGGAAAGGGTTGATT